GCTGGCTACAGAAAACAAGTTATTTTTCCACCATTATTTAAACCAGTAAGACTGTTAACTCTCAACCCACTCTACTTGGAGAAAGCATTTAGCTTGCGTCATCTTTATTTGTTTGCAACTAGTTCGAATGGGATTTTAAAAAATACCGGGGGCAGAATTAGGAGAACACAATTAATCCAAGTCAATAACCTACAGGGATTGAGATTGGCATCAATTAGAACCGAGCAAGCAGAGAATAACCTCTGGTTTTAGGTGGGTACAACAAGACGGGGCCATCTTGCCTCAAACAATCGCCACAAGTTTGGGTACAAAGCAAAAACAAGAACAAATTTGTCATTCCACCATGGATTTATAACCAAGTAACTATTTAATGAATAACACAACCATAAACATCTTCATCTGATTACAAGAATATTAACAAACCTGAAAGACAACAATCACACTAACTGCAAATTACAAATATAAACTGCAAAAGGAGGGAAAAAAAAAAAAGGGAGAGAAAAGGGATAGGGTAGTAGACGAAAAAAAAAGCCAATAAGCACCTATACAACCACACAAACCACTGGTCACTCGAAAACCTGACAAAAGGTTAGCCCAAAGTCAATATCTCCCATTATCTTGTTCCCTGATCACTAATAAGCAGAGTAATAACAGTCTATGTCAGAAAGCACACCGATTCTCCTCCTGATTTTCTTCTCTTGGACTTTTTTTTCCTTTGGTAATTCCAGAGGGTACAGGATTGTCAGCATGCAAGTTACAATCTTATAATCAATTGCAAATCAAAACAATAAAAAAGGTGATATGAGAGATGGAAGAACAAGGCCTATAATGGTGTACTCAACTTCACTTGTGATAGGGACTTCGTCGTCATTGAGTGCTCCTTGTCATCCCACTTCGTGTTACATTTCTGCATCAACAACACTTATCAACTTAACAATAATGACAATTAACGTCACTTTGGATACTAGACAAAAAGAATTTATAAACACAATTCTTAATTTTTCAGTCAAGCAAGCTCTTGAAGAACTAATTTATATCAATTAGTTTAGATGCAGGTTATTTTCCTTGTCACTTTGCTGATCCTAAAGTTTCTGTAAAAAATGGTTCAACAAGTATTATGCTCTCACACATGAGGCAGCCACAGTAAAAAGAGGAGAAACAAATAGCAATAATACAATGCAACCAGACCAAATAAAAAATTTCCTAGTCATCT